AATCTCCCATTGCTAAAGTACAATTCTCCAAATCAAGAGCTAATCCTACCATCTTTAATGTAAACATCATTTGAATCATATTCATATGAGCTGGGGGATAAGGAATACCAAAGTATACAGTTGTTCGAAAAAACAGAAGATAAGTAAAAGAAAACAGGAAGCTTAAAAGATGACATTTTCTAAAAGTTAATGAAATTAATTATTCCAAATTCTATAAACAATTTCCTTTAAATTTTAAGATTATAGAACAATATCCTTACTATAAAATTGTTTATTTTACATGTATAATTGTCCTACAATACCAATTAAAATACTAAATTTCAAATCTCCACAAAGATATTTAGCAGCCTAAAATGCATTTCGACACACATGGTATCATCCTCAGTCTATAATTAAGGATGGCACCTTGCTGAAACGTATTTTAGGTTGCTAAACGTTTTTGTAGCATTTCGGGATTTAATATTTATTTTCAGTTTCAGTTCTACAATACTCTATTTGATTTTCTTACATTACTAACAATACTTACTTCTTATTATGAAATAGAATGAATATATTCCCAATGCATACAACAAAAAGGTGTAAAGTATGGTAACCTCCTAAAACGACCATCAGAAATAATCCCAAAATTGTTCCTATCCATTTCTTGAATTCTTTATTATTAATGTTCCTATAAATATAGCCAAACAGTATGCAAAATATTAAAGATAATGAGTAAATGACATCATCCTTGTTCATATTATCAACTTAATTTCTTGTTTAAAATCAATTATCAAATAAAAATTAACTTCAACAATCGAAAAATATTTAAAGTAGGTACTTCATGATAAATGTAAACAAAAAATTGATCTTATACTACATAACCTTACTTCTAATGGTAGATAATAGATACACAAAGGGTCAATATTTCTAATTGTAAGTATGGTCACCATAGATAATGGTCACAGTCTATACACTATATATTAGGTTTAACTATGGTATGATTGTTTTTTTGCATAGACTTTTGGTTAGTCAGTATCTATGGTCAGTATCAAAGATCTATGATCAAAGACAGTTATTGATTATCTATGGTTATTAATAATAAGTATCTAGGATAATGAGAATGGCAATAATAGGCATAGATAAATAATAAGTTAAACACCTAGACTGTTAAACATATTAATAATTAATTAATGAATACCGTGTAATACGAAATGAGTTCAAAGGATAAGGAAAATAAGACTATCCAAGAAAAATTGAAGCAGTTTTTTAGATTCAATAAGAGTAATTCAGGTATAATCTTCGTTACTTAATTAGACTCTTGATTAAGTTTATTACTTTGTTAGGAAGTTTCAGAGGTAGAAATGATTTTGTCTTAACGGAAGATATACAAAGGGATCTTAGCAGAGATTCACCTGTATCCATACGAACGAAAATATTGAAAGAATTATGTGACGACGTCTTAACGCACAGATTGGAAGATGTGTGTTTTAAGTATTTAAAGCAAAATAAATAGAATATGATTAAGATTTTTCATTTTAGAAAGCAATTGAAAAGCTGTGGAGCTTGATTGAAGATTTATTACACTACAACCAACCTACTGAATCGCGTCATTTAGCCTTTAACTTTTTACAAAACCTTGTACGAGGTCAAATTGATAAATTGGATTTGCTGAGAGCTCATTTTTTCAGAGTAATAAAACAGCATGAATATTCAGAGGATGTTGCTCCAAGATTTGAACTTTTGCATGCTTTAACTGATAATGGTAAAGATGTTCGCTATTTTGAAGAAGAGGTAAAAGTGTCTTTTTCTTCTATTTTTAAATTAACTTCACTTATGGAATGATTTTTCTTTTCTCAGATCGGTCCTTTTCTTTTGAAATGGTTACCAGATGTTACAAGTGCTGGGAAAACTCAAGACTTTTTAGAACTTCTTATGAATGTTATAAAGTTCAATGCTGCTTATCTGGATGAAGAAGTTGTTACGGGACTTATTCAGTATGTTTTCTATTTAAAAAACAGAATCAATTAAAATTTTAAGATCTTTCTGGTAACTGAGATATATAGATACATTTACTTTATTTTCAGAAATGTCTGCCTTTTAAGTTACAGTACAAGTCAACAGTCAGTGGTGTTGGCTTGTTTGCAGGTTTTAGATACTATAGTTGCTTATAGTAATTTACCTTCAGAATCTTTACCTAATTTTGTAGGTGCTCTTTGTCGAATTGTAAACGTTGAAGCATATTGCCAGGCTAGTTGGAAGGTATACTTTTATTAAATTGTAAATACATTTGATTTTATTTTTTTATTAATTCAAAAGTTCTGAAGTTAGTTGAACATGTTAATATTTTGGTCAAATAATTGGATTTTTCTTTTTTTTTTTGCTTTCATATACCAACTAATGATTTACTGTCTGTTATTAAGGTAATGCGAAATTTGATGGGCACCCACATGGGTCATTCAGCTTTGTACACTATGTGTCGAATACTTCAAGAGCCTGAATTAAAAAATGATGGGGGTTTATTGAGGGGCGCCGTCGTCTTCATATACATGAGTTTATGGGGTCCTCATTCCCAACCTTTGACCAATTTAAATTGTCCTTATAGTTGCGTTCTGCCATCTATTTTGCAGGTAGAAAGTTCTTTGCTATTTTTTTATATGTTTGATCAAGTCGTGATTATGTTTATTTTTCAGGCTGTATCATCTAATCATGCCATTGTGACTTATGAAGTTGTATTCAGTATACAAATTTTAGTAAGTCACAAATATGTTGAACTGCTACATGAACCCAGTTGGGATATTATTCTAAAGATATTGTCTACTGCATTAAAACAAATTGGTAAGTGGTACTAGAACATTTTTTTAAATTGTAATTCAATAAAGTCATACTTTTATGTTTATGATATACATGATATAAATATTTTTTTTTTGTTTTATTTAGTATTGTAGTAAAAGATACAACAATTGTAATTCTACAGTAATCTCTTTTTAAATGTGTATTCAGATTTTAACAAATTGTTGTTGTTTTAGAGGCTGCTCCAAATTTAACTGCTCATAAATATGCGGCAACCATTTTCCATAAAACATTGGACAACATTGAAGAGTTAATTGAATCTCTTTACCGTTACAATGCACAAGCTCAGTTTTTCGAAATAATTGAAAAGTGCGCGTCTAATAGGCCTGAAGAATCAATTCTAAGATTGATTTCATACCTTTCTAAGAATATACTCCCTACAAAACATATGTGGCTCTCTAACTTGTATAATCTTTTACAAAAATATTATCGACAAGAGGTGCGGACTAATATTCGTTTGAAAGTGATTGATGTTTTACTTCACGTTGTCGAAATTGCCCGGTAGGTTCAAAAAACTATAACATGCATTAGTTTATAGAAGAAAATTGATTGTATACAGCATTAATGTCTTTTATGTACGCACATAATTATTGTAATCTTTGTAAATGTGACCTTCCATTAGCTGCTTTGGTGGTATTATAATTTATTTTTAAGTTCTTAAATATTTTTTTTTAGATCTCAGTATGAGGACGAATTAATCGATCGTATTATTATCCCACACTTGTCATCGAGTGTTAATGAAACCGATGTTGTTATCAGAACAAAAGTTGCTGATTTATTAATAAATATATGTATGGAATGTGATTCTAAAAGATGCATAGAAGTTTTGGAAATTTTAGAAAAGGTACATATGTCGAAAGTAGTTCTCTTCCTCTGTTGTTCTGTGTTATAGCCTTTTTTTGATTTTGTTTTCCATTAGCTTTTCAATCGACCTTTTGACACTCACGGAATGGATATTCCAGTACCTGATTCAGATATAGCCGACATCAAAAGTATTGTTTCTGGTTTGGTGAAGGTGTTCGAATTAAAAATTCACAGATTACCCTCCACCCATGCTCTAAAAATTTACAAAATGTTTGTGCACCATCTCGAACAACATTACAGTCGACCAAAAATTTTTGAAGATTGCAACCAAATACGTTACAAGGTAAGTTTTGATTTAACTTATTTAAATTTGATTAAAAATAATTCATTGTCTGTTTAACTAGAATTTTTATTTTGAAAATTTAATTTTTAGATTTTTGAATGTTTTTTGAATATGCGAGCTGACTCCCAGTTTCATTTGGGATGCATAGAATCTAATGGTAAAGTAAAATTTAGTCCGTATTTATGTGTTTCATACAACAGCATGGACAGAAGTTCTCTCAGTTCTCCTCCACCTGCTTCTCCAGCTATAACTCAATTGACTCCTTGCACTATTACTTATGTACCATTGCGACGTTGTTTCAAGGCTGTAATTTCCTGTTTGAGACAAGAAAAAGGTATGTAATTTAGAAAGTATTGTATTCGGTGGCGATTATTTATTTTATAGAAATAAATATATAGNAATTTTATATCGTCAATTCTTAGGAAATTTCCGTATTCTTTTTTTTAATTACTTAGTTAAGATGTTTAAACGATATTTTGTGATAGGAAATTAAAGTTTTATTTATAAAAATGTGTTAAAATCGTAAAATTTCGTAATGCTATTGCTGAAGAAATTTCAGTTCAATTATTTTTGAATTAACAAATGAAGTAGATGTTTGAAAAAAAATACTTAGTGACACCTAATCAAATGTGTTAACTTTATTTATGTGTAGGACTGTACATTCGGTTGCTTTATTTTTAGATAATCGCTTTAAAAACATTTAAAACTATCGAAAAATCTACTTTATACGAGTCGTGTTTGTAAAGTTTGCCTTCGTTCTCTGATAAAATATACATATGTATAAAAGCGGATAGGCGAACTAGAAACAGTTCCACATAAAAATTCAATCAGCAGGTGACTAAAAGTCCACCTTAGCTATGCTATATAACATAACCTTGGCTATAAACTTGGAGGTTTTCTCTTTTCTGTGTAGTAAGCAACCGCGGCTTGTTACATGGGTTAGTTTTGATGGAATTTTAGCTTACCATACTTCTACGAGTAAATAGATACCTATAATAGGTAGACGCTTAAAAAAAACATTATCAGGCAATATGATTTTTGGTGTTTCCCTTCAAGTCGAATTTCTATTTAAAATGTGCTCATGATTTTATTGGCACATGAATTTATTATGCTTACATATAAAATACTTATTTTCTTAGTACAGTATTCTCAAAATTTAAAATCGTACAATAACACAAAACATTTTAAACTTAGAGGTTTTGTGCAGGTTATTACGTACATGTTTTATATCAATTTTGAAGCAGTTAATGAAAACTGTTTTTTCTTATTATCATAAAAACCTGTATGTAAATGTTGGTTCATAATTTTCGGTACGTCCTATATATATACACTTGGGGAATAAATTCGATCTATAGCTTGCTGTGCTCAAAACAACCCACCAAGTTGACGTCACGCGCCGTTAACAACGTCGGCCACTGCGATCTTTGTTGCAATGATTATATTAAAACATGACGCTTCAATATTTCAAATAGCATTGTTGGGAGTTGCGAGGGACTGCATTATGTAGTTCATATCAGAAAATAATGTGCAAAACTTATTTTTTAATTAGCAACATGTGCAATGTACATTATATATCGATTAAATAGGTATTAAATAAAGTATAGGTAAATTATAACGCGATTTTTTTAAATATATATAAAAACATTACTTGCTAATATAGTATAATAAATGGTAGAAAATTAATAAAAATAGAAGTATTTAATACGAAAGAAAACCTTTATTTCGTTTTCCTGCTGAACTTGATGTTCATTGACTTTAATTAAAACAACTTTTATAATTCTATCATTGTTCTCGTACATGCGGTATACAAAAATAGAAGCGCGCTTGAAATTGAGTAAACATCGCGCTTTGTTAGCTTGCTTAACACGTGTGTTGTCATCGCGACATGTGGTTAATATTTCAGTTGAGCTTATATAGCAATAAAAATTAGATACCAAAACCATACAAATGCACAAGCCGAAGTATTGCCTGCCTATTGACGATCAGATTTCAATTATGATCACAATTATAGGCAACTAGGCAAACAAAATCGTACTTTTATGCGACCACGAAAAGAAGGCATTACCATGGATTACGTAGTGGCCCCTTTTATCGTCGTAAACAAGTTTATCGACGTTGGCCTTGGACTTACAGAACAGTTGTATGTGCAAAACAACATATAAGGCGTAGAGTAAGCTTTGGTTGTTCTCTATGGAATTCATATATTAGCTCAGCGCGATTGGTAACAATCATGTAACAATAGTTAAATAAACTTCGTTTATAATTTGTCGTAGTAGTGACATCTATTGCCTAGGAGAGCGAATTAGCGTGTAAAGGCCATGGGATAAATAAGATTGTCGTGTAATACATGCTTTCGACTGTTATCATTTTTTCTTTGTATGCCAGAAACATTTTTTTGATTACGTCACAGATATCTCAAATTTTAGAAATTTACACTATTTTGTTGGTACGTACCAACATGGTAACCATAATAAATTCCACCCTATCGCTTTGAAGATATTTGAATATAAATATGTTCTACCCCTAAATTATTAAATAATTCCAGAGTTATTTTTATATTGCTTCCACATAATAATACAATATTCAATATGACATTAAAATAAGTTATTACATAGTTCCCTGCTATTGTATTTTTATCACAACAATAATATCATTTAACTTTTTTCTAAAGTCAGATCATCATTTTATTCATCTACAATTGCAGTTTGTACTCTTCTTTTAAATTTTATTCCAAGGCCGATAAGGTATAAAATGGTTAATGCTACTATCCAAAAATGGTCCATGGAATTGTAATAGCGCATTACATTTTCGTATGTAAGCAACTGCATTGCAACACACAAATATCCAAAAGTTTGCATTTTCATATACCAAATGAACCATTTCCAAAATTTTAAATACTGAAAAATAAAAAAGTTTAAAAACGAATATATCTTGAATATTTTACCGATTTCTAATAATAAATAAAAAACATAATATGTATAAATACTTAAGTAGTATTATATTATTATATTATATTTTCATGACTGTATGTTATCCTAAGATTTATTCTAAAAATAGTGGAATATATTTGTGGTTTTGCTTACTGGTTCAGAATTGTCTTTTAGGTAAAGGTTTACATATAAATCTTCTATCGGCAAATAAAATGCCATGCTCCAAATGCAAACGTAGTGACCCAAATATAAACCATGCCAGTAAGCCGAAACAAACAGGGTGGCAAAAGTGCGAAACTTTTTATAGGGGAAACACTTGTAAACGTTAACGGCTAACCAATATTGTATACATGTGTTCCAGTGTTTCATCGCCGCTCTGACAGTTATGCAAAAATCCACTTCAACTGGATCAATATTATTTACAGTCTCGAAATTAAACTCTGTCTTCGATAATAACGAAGTATCTTTCGCTCTAAAATAATAAAAAGTGTATAAAAAAAGCGAATAAATTGCTGGAAATAATTATCGTTACATTTGATAAATCGTTTGAAAATTATCCGTTGGCCCATGGCCTGATCTCGGCCTTGTGATTTCCGGATAGGCCCCCAATCCTGCCATTATGCAAATGCATTCTGTTAAAATTAAACCGCAGTAAATTCTCATTCGATAGAAATAAAAAATTACCCACATGTACCAAAAACGGTATGACCATGAACGGTGTTGAAAAAATTCTTCTGTGGTACAATACTAAAAACATAAAAAACATTATCCCTGGAGAAAAAAACGAACTTAAAAATAATTTAATACTATAACATAAAAGTAAAATTGTATTAAATCAAAGAGATTTTTTCATAGTCATGCTTCAGTTTATTTAAATAGAACATTTTTATAAAACTCACATGAGTAATTCATTTGGCTGACAACTTACAGAAATAGGCCAATAGTAAGAAAGAAATAAAAATATCACTGCAATTAAAGGGAAGATTCTGAGTTTCTTTAAAGTATGTTTCTCACAATTGGCATACTTGGAAAATGGAAGATCTATATAATCTAGGAATGTTCTATATCGAAAGTATGGTCCTACAATTTTTTTGTTAATTAATTTTGTTGATAACCTTTTTTTTTAATGATTTTTACCTGTAACTATACCAATATAATTCAAACTGTAATGAAATACATCTGCCACAGTCAAATTAAAATAGCTGTAGATAATTTCTGCCTTTTGCTCATCAGTTTTATTGTCATAATCTCCCATTGCTAAAGTACAATTCTCCAAATCAAGAGCTAATCCTACCATCTTTAATGTAAACATCATTTGAATCATATTCATATGAGCTGGGGGATAAGGAATACCAAAGTATACAGTTGTTCGAAAAAACAGAAGATAAGTAAAAGAAAACAGGAAGCTTAAAAGATGACATTTTCTAAAAGTTAATGAAATTAATTATTCCAAATTCTATAAACAATTTCCTTTAAATTTTAAGATTATAGAACAATATCCTTACTATAAAATTGTTTATTTTACATGTATAATTGTCCTACAATACCAATTAAAATACTAAATTTCAAATCTCCACAAAGATATTTAGCAGCCTAAAATGCATTTCGACACACATGGTATCATCCTCAGTCTATAATTAAGGATGGCACCTTGCTGAAACGTATTTTAGGTTGCTAAACGTTTTTGTAGCATTTCGGGATTTAATATTTATTTTCAGTTTCAGTTCTACAATACTCTATTTGATTTTCTTACATTACTAACAATACTTACTTCTTATTATGAAATAGAATGAATATATTCCCAATGCATACAACAAAAAGGTGTAAAGTATGGTAACCTCCTAAAACGACCATCAGAAATAATCCCAAAATTGTTCCTATCCATTTCTTGAATTCTTTATTATTAATGTTCCTATAAATATAGCCAAACAGTATGCAAAATATTAAAGATAATGAGTAAATGACATCATCCTTGTTCATATTATCAACTTAATTTCTTGTTTAAAATCAATTATCAAATAAAAATTAACTTCAACAATCGAAAAATATTTAAAGTAGGTACTTCATGATAAATGTAAACAAAAAATTGATCTTATACTACATAACCTTACTTCTAATGGTAGATAATAGATACACAAAGGGTCAATATTTCTAATTGTAAGTATGGTCACCATAGATAATGGTCACAGTCTATACACTATATATTAGGTTTAACTATGGTATGATTGTTTTTTTGCATAGACTTTTGGTTAGTCAGTATCTATGGTCAGTATCAAAGATCTATGATCAAAGACAGTTATTGATTATCTATGGTTATTGATAATGAGTATCTATGATAATGAGAATGGCAATAATAGGCATAGATAAATAATAAGTTAAACACCTAGACTGTTAAACATATTAATAATTAATTAATGAATACCGTGTAATACGAAATGAGTTCAAAGGATAAGGAAAATAAGACTATCCAAGAAAAATTGAAGCAGTTTTTTAGATTCAATAAGAGTAATTCAGGTATAATCTTCGTTACTTAATTAGACTCTTGATTAAGTTTATTACTTTGTTAGGGAGTTTCAGAGGTAGAAATGATTTTGTCTTAACGGAAGATATACAAAGGGATCTTAGCAGAGATTCACCTGTATCCATACGAACGAAAATATTGAAAGAATTATGTGACGACGTCTTAACGCACAGATTGGAAGATGTGTGTTTTAAGTATTTAAAGCAAAATAAATAGAATATGATTAAGATTTTTCATTTTAGAAAGCAATTGAAAAGCTGTGGAGCTTGATTGAAGATTTATTACACTACAACCAACCTACTGAATCGCGTCATTTAGCCTTTAACTTTTTACAAAACCTTGTACGAGGTCAAATTGATAAATTGGATTTGCTGAGAGCTCATTTTTTCAGAGTAATAAAACAGCATGAATATTCAGAGGATGTTGCTCCAAGATTTGAACTTTTGCATGCTTTAACTGATAATGGTAAAGATGTTCGCTATTTTGAAGAAGAGGTAAAAGTGTCTTTTTCTTCTATTTTTAAATTAACTTCACTTATGGAATGATTTTTCTTTTCTCAGATCGGTCCTTTTCTTTTGAAATGGTTACCAGATGTTACAAGTGCTGGGAAAACTCAAGACTTTTTAGAACTTCTTATGAATGTTATAAAGTTCAATGCTGCTTATCTGGATGAAGAAGTTGTTACGGGACTTATTCAGTATGTTTTCTATTTAAAAAACAGAATCAATTAAAATTTTAAGATCTTTCTGGTAACTGAGATATATAGATACATTTACTTTATTTTCAGAAATGTCTGCCTTTTAAGTTACAGTACAAGTCAACAGTCAGTGGTGTTGGCTTGTTTGCAGGTTTTAGATACTATAGTTGCTTATAGTAATTTACCTTCAGAATCTTTACCTAATTTTGTAGGTGCTCTTTGTCGAATTGTAAACGTTGAAGCATATTGCCAGGCTAGTTGGAAGGTATACTTTTATTAAATTGTAAATACATTTGATTTTATTTTTTTATTAATTCAAAAGTTCTGAAGTTAGTTGAACATGTTAATATTTTGGTCAAATAATTGGATTTTTCTTTTTTTTTTTGCTTTCATATACCAACTAATGATTTACTGTCTGTTATTAAGGTAATGCGAAATTTGATGGGCACCCACATGGGTCATTCAGCTTTGTACACTATGTGTCGAATACTTCAAGAGCCTGAATTAAAAAATGATGGGGGTTTATTGAGGGGCGCCGTCGTCTTCATATACATGAGTTTATGGGGTCCTCATTCCCAACCTTTGACCAATTTAAATTGTCCTTATAGTTGCGTTCTGCCATCTATTTTGCAGGTAGAAAGTTCTTTGCTATTTTTTTATATGTTTGATCAAGTCGTGATTATGTTTATTTTTCAGGCTGTATCATCTAATCATGCCATTGTGACTTATGAAGTTGTATTCAGTATACAAATTTTAGTAAGTCACAAATATGTTGAACTGCTACATGAACCCAGTTGGGATATTATTCTAAAGATATTGTCTACTGCATTAAAACAAATTGGTAAGTGGTACTAGAACATTTTTTTAAATTGTAATTCAATAAAGTCATACTTTTATGTTTATGATATACATGATATAAATATTTTTTTTTTGTTTTATTTAGTATTGTAGTAAAAGATACAACAATTGTAATTCTACAGTATTATTGTTTTGAATTTCCGAAATGTATAAATTTGACATTTTAGTGTATAGTGCAGTAGATAATTTCAGGAAAAAAGAAACAATGTATACGTTCAGACGTACCGTTCGGTTTTTTCATTTTTATATTGCGTAAATGTGTTCTAAATGTCTACAAGTAGTAATTAGTAAATTATCACAAAACGTAAAATGTCATTTTACTGATATAAACTTACAAATATCCTCCATTTAATCGTTGTTTTAATGGAACTTTTGGGTTTCCGATAGGTAAGTTCTCGAGATTAAAAATAAACTGTAGCACGTGGCCGACACAACTTAACGATGCGACTAGGGAATTCCCGGAATCGAAATCAAAAGTAGTTCACGTTCAAGCGTCCACGTATGTATGTATGTA